ATGCCAGGAAAACATGCCCCAAACCATAACACTGCCCCCACCAGCTTGAAGGGTTGTACTCATGCATGTGGGGTGCATGCTTTCATGCTGTTTCCGCCAAATTCTCACTCTGCCATCTGCATGATGCAACTGGAAACGTGATTCATCGGACCACATTACTTTTTTTTCCAATGCTCGACTGTCCAATCCTTGTGTTCCTGTGCGAATTGGAGACGTTTTATCTTAACTGCAGACAGCAAAGGTGTTCGAACAGACCTTCAGCTTCCATATCCCATACGATGCACTGTAAGGCGAACAGTGCGTTCAGAGATCATTTGATTGGCTAGATTTTTCTTAACTTTAAAGTGTATGTTAGGCCTAATTACCTTCTCATTCGCTCCCTCTTGCTTTGTTTATATAGCCTTTAGGCTTTGTTCACACCAAATGCAGACCAGATCTGCATGAGTTTCTGCACACGCAGTGCCGCATTTTTGCCGCGTTTTTCAGGGCCGTTTTAGGTTAAAAAAAAATTAATTTTAAAATGGGCTTTCCAAGGCGTTTGCATCAGTATTTGATGCGTCTGTATGCGTTCCAGAGCAGGTAAGTAAGGCTTGTTGCAGGTTTTTTTTACATGCTCTGGAACTGAACGCTGCTGTGTGGACTAGAGCCCAAAATACCATTGGCATGCATTGGACGCAGTTTTGATCCGGTCTATAACTGCTCTGCTCCTGGAATGCATTTGGTGTGAACAAGCCCTTACCTTTGTGCTGCCAGAGCAGTTTTTGCATGCGTTTTAAAATGCACGTTTCAGATCTGAAGATCACTTAAACACAACACTCCCCTCCCCCAAAATTATATATTTTCTGAGACCCTATTAAATTTAAACAAATGGTCTCCGCTGCAATTTTTTTTTATCCTGCATATTGGCACAACTGTTTGTCACATTCAGATGTTCAGAAAAAATACCTACATTATTTTGGTGCACAACATAATACCTCATACATCTTTGGTGTAACATATTGAAGTGAATGGCACCGTAGCCACACCCTCCGGCTACAATGCAATCGGCCCCACGGGATCACAATGCACATTATGCCTGTGGTCTGGTCCGATCAAAATAGTGCTTGCAGCATTTTGTTTCGACCAGACCGCAGGCATAATGTGCCTTGCGTTTTCGTGTGGACGATCGCTACGGTGCCATTCACTTCAATGGACTGCCACGCCCTCTCCTGTCCCACAACATAGTGAACTGTCCACGATGCAGTGCGTTCTGGCAAGAATTGGTCTGGAACGCACTGAATCTGCTGTGAACGAGGCCCAAAGGTGCCCACACACCTTACAATTATCTGCAGATTTTCTGTGGTCAGATGGAAAAAGTGCAACAGATTGACCCAGGTGGAGATTTCTCTATCCACACAGTTAAGTGTAGATGGAGGAATCTGTTGCACCTTTTCCATCTGACTACAGAAAATCTGCAGATAATTGTAAGGTGAATGGCCAGCTTAAGTCTCCTCATTCCAAAAACAAAGTGCAATTGTGCTCCACTCCAAAAAGGTGTATTTCTTGTGTGACAGTCTTTCTGTGCAATCAATACACTCACCAGACTACTTTTGACGGCTATTAAATGGTCATACTGCGCTCTGATTACAATCCTTAGTGAACCACTCTCCAAAAACAGCTGATGGCAACCCCCTGTTTTTCTGGAAACTGTTGGTCGGTTCAAGTTGTTCCAATTCCTGTCAATCCACCTTCTAGACCTTCTGCCAATATTAACCTCCTCCGCACTGTTCTCCTTATAACTCATTCAGTGCCCCATGGAAAAAATGTAGAAGCCACATAGTATAAAATCTTTAATCATAAAGTCTACAAAAACTTACATTCAAAGCTTAGTAGACAAACTGTATGCTAGTAGAGGAATTATACAGTGCTCTGTGATCAGCAAAATGACGTCGGCATGTTAGCGCCTCCTTGACATGTTTCATCTTAAAGACTTTTTCAAAAAGTCTTTACGATGAAACATGTCAAGGAGGAGCCAACACGCTTGAATTAAAAGGCGATATTGGCACAAACACTTAGGATGTCACACTAAGAAATACCTTTTGGGAGTGGAGTACAATTGCACTTTTATATTGTAGAAATAACCTTTTAAAATACTTTTACCTTTTTTTTTTTTTTGTGTGCTCTAGACTAATTTTGTGGAGTTGCACACGCGATCTGGTTCACAACACATTGCACATGCAGTTTTGAGACTGTATTGATTTGAACTATTGGGGGTGTCACATATTGTGTTGGGTAATCCCTAAGATCTTTAATGCTTATCTAGAAGTGTTTTCGTTTTTGTTTTGTTTTTTATGTGCAGTGGCTTTGTCTTGGAATATAATTTATTTTTTTTGTTATGCATTGTGAATGGGAACATGTAAGAAAAATAAAATAGGAGAACTAGCTCCTTTTAAACTAGCGTCCTCCCGTCACCCTAAGCTCAGTATACCGCGAGCTACAGCTCGCGGTATACTGAGACGCTGAAGCGGATCCCGACAATTATGTCTGGATCCGCCCAGCTGCGTGAGTGAAAGCTGGCTCTGCCTATCTAGAGGCAGAGCCAGCTGTACCCGCCCCCTCCCCCCATCCTGCCAGTCAGCACTGGAGGATCGGAGGGTGGAATCCAGCCCGTATGTGTTCGCTCACCTCCCGATCTACTGAGCCGACCTGTGATAGTCTCATTGTCACAGTTCGGCTAGAACTATGAGGTGAGTGAAAAGCACTCACCTCATAGTTCTCCTTTAAGCATTTCATGTCCCAACTATAAGTTTAATTATTTTGGCTGTTTAACACTTTTCTATTTTGATTTTTTGTTTTCTGTGTAAAACTTGCCTTATATTGAGACATCTTAATGTATGTACTGGTGACTGGGGAGATATGTATGCTGTATTGAGTTTTAAGACTTGTTCACACCAGGCACATTAAGCTGCGTTGATCAGAACTGAACACATGCTCAACAAAAGGCCACATAGAAAACTGTTTTCTGTCCCCGTTCACTCCATATTGTGGTGGTGTGTGGTGCATAAAAATGTAGCGTGTCTGCATGTTTACGCAGTGCAATGCACATCAGTGTTAACGCACAGCATGTCACATTGTGCTGCAGTGCAAGCAAAAGGAAATTTTAATTTTGTGACCTTTTTAATAAAGCTAAAAAATAGTAGTTTAGTGTGTAGTAACAGTCACACTGCCAATACCAATGCACACCAGCAGGTGCACATTATATTGGAGCACAACGTGTGCCCACTTTTTTGAGCAGGCCCTTAAGGGAGCTCTCACTTAAATGGTAAAGAAATCAGAAGTTAACAGAGAATCTGACTTGCAATTGTACCTTCCGATTTCCTTCTGAACTGATGTGCTGCGATCTGTTTTTCAAACTCATGCTAACGGAAGGGCACCAAAAAATGAATAGGTGTAAATGGGACTAGCTCACCGGATCAATTGCGCTGGGGAAAAAAAAGTAGTGGATGTTCTGTCCTTTTTTTTTTCTTTTTTAATGGAACAGAGCTTTTGAACTGTCCCCCATTTACACCCATTCATTTTTGGTGCCCTTCCATAAGCCCCCATTGAAAGGCATTTCGCAATACACCGTGGGTCACAACGCAAAGGATCGCAACAGTGGATCTGGTGTGAATTGATCCTAAGTTTGTGTAAGAAAGGTGTTTTTTTTTTATTACTAATTTCCTTTGTACAACACTGCATTTATGCTGTTGGATAACTTTTTTTTTTTTATTGGCTCCTACCATTCTACAAAAATTGGTGTGAGGATGGGGTGGAAAAATATACCTAATTTTTATCTTCATTGAGCTTACCAAAAGCAACCGTGTCTAATCAAGATCTTGCGCGGTTTATTTAGCATGTTGTCAAATAAGATCCTGATTAGTTAAAATCTTTGTCTATCCTTTACCCTAGAGAGATGCCTTGAAGACCATGAGCTTGTAGTACAAGTCCAATCTGTGATGTCAAGTGAATGCAAATTTCTGTTCAGGAAGAATTATGCAAAATATGAATTTTTTAAAAATCCGGTGGTAAGTATAAACGCTCAATTTTCGAAGATACATTTAGCTGTTTTTGGCTGATGCAGGTTGTAGATACATATGTAATATATAATTTCATTTTATAATTCAATGTAGATAAATGTCTTTATTTTTTGCTGGCTAGGATAGCACTAGGCTGTATGAACATACCACAGACACTTCTCCTCTGGACTGACAAGACGCATTTGCAAACAGGCAAATACAGACATAGGCAGATACTGATCACTCAGAACTGAGTGATCTGATTGAGTGGTCGCGTGTTGCCGCTTTGTGATGCCTTCATTGCATCGCGCACTGTGATTGGCTGGAGATGATCTTTTTCATCTCACGACGCTGCGCTACGCACGCTGTCGCCGGGCAGAGCGGGGGATCGGAACTCACTAGACACACTGCAGGCGAAGGACCGCGCTGCTTCGCCTGCAGTGTCACGGCCTTAAACCTCTCGTCCATGGAAAGTCGCACGCGTTCCTTGGGCGGCCCGGTACCATTTGATCCACAGACCGATAACGGTCCGCGGCCCGGGGGTTGGGGACCACTGCACTAGAGCATACAACTGTTAACTGTATCTAGTCATACAATTTGTGACCATCTTTGCTAGAATCTTATTTTTTCAACCATACTGCTGAAGTGTATTAGACAAGAGAACTCCGAGGGACATACCACCACTGGAGCAAGAGGGGTGAGGTCTCTGCCATAGGATTGAGGCTCCGGTGAGTATAACTACTTTCAGATCCTAGAGAAAAACTAGCAGTGTGAGTGGCCCCTTCTCAAGGGTTAACTTTGGAACTGCCAGGAGCTCTTTAACACCTTCATGACTGAGTTTGTTTAGTTCTGTTCGTTAATGACTGACACTTTTTACATTTTTGCTGTGCGATTCTTCCACGGCAGTAATATACTGTCCTAAGTGCACCCACACATTATATATTAGAGGACAGATAGGGCTATGTATTTATCACATTTGTGCCTACACCTCACTTAGGATGAATAAAATATAAAAAGAGGAAAAAAGTAAAGAAAACCTTTTTTTTTTTTAAATATATTTTATTTTAGAACACAGCTAAAAAAAAACAGTAAAATAAAAAAATGTGTCCTTTTTTTTTTATTTGGAAATGCTTCACATCCCTAGGATTTCAGAAAATGTTCTGTACTTCCCAGCCGAAAACTAAAAGCTAGCATTTTATTTTTTTTTCTCTGAAAACTAATGGTGCTCACCTGGCATACAATGCCAGTGTCGCACTGGTGGCAGCGACATACTTTGAGCATGGTTGTCATAAGGGGGTTAAATATAAAATTAACCCATTTGGGTGTAAAACAAATCTGCAATTGTAAGGGGTTAATTTTTAGTGTGTGTGTGTATACACTATATTGCCAAAAGTATTGGGACATTCCTCAATCATTGGATTAAGGTGTTCCAATCACTTCCATGGCCACAGGTGGCAGGCCACATAAAATGACAGAGCGCTGTCAGCGCATGCTGAAGCGCACAGTCTGCAGAAGTCGCCAACTGTCTGTAGTGTCAATAGCTACAGTCCAAGCTTTTGTGGCATTCAGCTTGGCACAACAGTGCGTCCAGAGCTTCATGGAATGGGTTTCCATGGCCGAGCAGCTGCATCCAAGCCTAACATCACCAAGTGCAATGCAAAGCATGGGATGCAGTGGTGTAAAGCACGCCACCACTGGACTCAAAGTGGAGATGTGTTCTCTGAAGTGGCGAATAACGCTTCTCTACCTGGCAATCCGATGTACGTGTCTGGGTTTGGCTGTTGTCAGGAGAACGGTACTTGTCTGACTGCATTGTGCCAAGTGTAAAGTTTGGTGGAGGGGGGATTATGATGTGAGGTTGTTTTTCAGGGATTGGGCTTTGGCCCTTAGTTCCAGTGAAGGGAACTCTTAAGGCATCAGCATACCAAGACATTTTGGCCAATTTCATACTCAACTTTGTGGGAACACTTTGGGGATGGCCCCTACCTGTTCCAACATGACTGTGCACAATGTGAACTTGAGCGGAGACTGCGAGCCAGGCCTTCTCGTCAAACATCAGTACCTGACCTCACTAATGCGCTTCTGGAAGAATGGTTAAACATTCCCATAGACACACTCCTAAACCTTGTGGACAGACTTCCCAGGAGAGTTGAAGCTGTTATAGCTGCAAAGGGTGGGCCAACTCAATATCGAACCCTACGGACTAAGACTGGGATGCCATTAAAGTTAATGTGGCATGTGTCCTAATACTTTTGGCAATATAGTGTGTGTATGTAAATATAGAATATTACATTTTTTTTTCTTTACACATTTCTGTAAAAATTTTTACACTTTATTTTCATTTTTAATTGTATCAAGTAGTCATTTGGGAATTGATCTCACTATGACTGCTTGATAATTTAATAAATGTTTTGGTTATTAGGCTTCTCCAAACTTAAGCTGTCAGGCTCAATGTCACTAACATTCCTGTCCAGTAAAGCTTCTGATCCTTCCTAGAATAATCGGAAGCCTGCAACATTGTTTCAGAATAAAAACATGTAGCTTTCTATTCTGAAACATTGTAGAAAGTCGGTACAAATCGGAGCCCGATCTGTACGAGCTGTCACAGTGGCAGTAAGTGCGGTAAATATCCCCTGAAAAGGATAGGGTGTCTGAAAAATCTTTCATTAATGGATGCCTCAATATTGAGGCATCGATTAAAGAACAGTAACCTCTGATTCGCTTTGGTTACTGGCATTCCACCGCCCCGAATAACAGATCAGGTACAGTGTACGTGATCAGTCATTTAAGCAATTAGTGGTGGGGACCTACAGTGCATGTCTCCTGTCATGAAGGCGTAGGGATTAAAGAAACTGGGCGTTTAGATAGTGATAATGTGGCCTTTCGTAACTTTTAAGCTGGCCATACACATAGATTTTCTGCAGAATTCCTGTGGTCATATGGAAAAAATGCAACACATTCCTCCATCTACGCTAAACTGTGTGGATGGAGGAATCTCCCACTGGGCCAAGCTTCAGTATCTTGCTAGTCGGCCCAGCTGGCCCATGGGAGATTTCTCCATCCACACAGTTTAGTGTAGATGGAGGAATCTGTTGCACTTTTCCATCTGACCATAGAAAATCTGCAGATAATCTATAGGTGTATGGCCAGCTTTAGATGTCGACCTTGATTTTCCTACCGGCACTAAAAAAAGTATAGAAAAATAGAGCAAAGAAAAATGCTTATTTCAATGATTTACTGTTGGGCACCGAAGATTCTGTTAGCACAGAGTACACCTCAGATGCAGTGTTTAGTTGATTCAAATGTCAATATTTACTTTATACAGTAATGAACAATTGAGTGTCTCTTTGGGCACACCTACACACATTAACAAACAAGTGCAGATGGGATTAGACTTCTGCAATAAAGAGCTGTCCGGTCAATGTTTACATTTCCTCGAAGCTCCTTATTGCTTTTACCCATGAATTCTTAAATGTATCGCCATCAGCACAAAATATGTTGGTTGAATTGCCATTTCTTCTCTGTCTCGTAATGGAAGATAGCAAATGTTTAATGCCATTACCGTTTCAAGGGCTATAGCTGCTCCAAAAGGTTTCTTGAGTTATTATACCTCATCCTTAATGTTGTGGGAAGACCTGAAAGGGCATTTCATATTTCAAAAACTGCAGTAAAGTTTGTCTTTCTGCATTGAGGAGCATGCCGGCATTCCAGCTCAGCTATTTGAGACCCTAGGAAATGGTAACGGGGTTCCTTGAGTTGCAGCTGTGTCATAGCCAATTAAAGTGGACTTGAACTCAACAATTACATTTTATGCTGTAGTGAACAACCAGAAATATTGTGCCTAAGCTGTATCTTGAAAGATTTACATTTTAATCTTGACTGTCTTTAAAAAAAAACAACAACAAACTGTAAGATTTGGTGATGTCGCGGTCATGTGCTGCTCACTGATCTCCTTTCTAAGCCAGAGAACCTGCAGTGCAAGGGTCCACTTTCTGCTTCATTTAGTCTTTGGATCTGTAGCAATGTTTTTGCTTGCATGTATCTAACTATGGATAGCTCTATGCTGTGGATTATAATCAATCTTTCTTTTTAGAATTTCTTTCCAGAACAGATGGTTTCTTGGTGTCAACAATCAAATGGTAGCATTCCTCAATCTGATTTATTGCAGGTAATAACGTTTAATGCATGTTGATTGTAAGTATGTAATTAAACTTGATTGTCATTAGGGAATGCTCCTGCCATTAGACTTTTTTTTGTTCCTCTTACCCTGCACCTACATACCAGTTAGTATTGTCATCTTTGGTTATAATCACTGAGACTATACTGGTCTTATTTGTAAAACAATTTTTTTTTGGTTACCGGTCATTCATATACAGTATAATGCCCTGTCATTGTATATTTGGACATATGGGTACTTGTAAAATGTAATTGTTTAGAGACAATCGGAAAGGAATTTGAGCATCCAAAGGCAAATTGCCCTTTGAGATTTAACAAGTCTGAGAATTGCAAAGATTTGCCATAACAAAAACAAGCAGTAACATGTAGAAAGCACTGGTTGCATGCGTGAATATCTCCATAACTGAATAAGAATTCCTTTTTCTTTCACAAAAAGATGAATCCTTTCATCAGTTATACCTAAACACTTCACTATTTCCATATAAGAGCCATAAAAAGGATGCTTGTAGTTATATCCTACTGCCCCAGCCTCCCTTCCCCAATCCAGAGAATTATCACTTGCTAGATTGCCTGTCAGTTTCTCAAATCTTCCTGGCAGCGAGCAGTGCATGTGCTCAGAAATTGTATGGACTTCCAAGTAAGAGCTCATACTTGGAAGTCTATAGAAACTAAGATTGCAGAAGACATGGGCAGTAGGAATACTTTTTGTTTTAGAAGAGTGAAGCAATAAACGCAGGCCACAACTGATCATCTAGTCAACAGACTGGAAAGACTGATTTTATTGTCTGACTCAACGTTTGGTTGACACCAGGTCTTTTTTTTTTATACACAGAATTTCTTGAATGCCAATAGTTGTCCAGAAATACAAGGCTTCTTGTATGTTAAAGATCTAGGAAAGAAGTCATGGAAGAAACTTTTCATTTGTCTGAGAAGATCTGGACTTTATTGCTCTACTAAAGGAACCTCAAAGGTATGCACCTATTGTGAACTTGCAAAGTTGCATTTTAAGCAATTAAAGGTAATTTTGTAATAAGCATTGAGTCATATCAAATTGTTTTCAGAAGGGTTCTCCCCCCTCCCCCCCAGTACATCGCTTAGACCAGTGCTTCTTAAAGTGTGGGTCGCGACCCCATGTGGGGTCCCGCAAGTTAACAGGGGGGTCACGATCCGAGTCCCGGGCCAGAACCGCCGTCAGGGGGTTATGGCCGGTACTTGTGTGAGGGGGCCCAGGCGGCCGAGGAGGTCTGGGCTCCAAGCTAGATTGTTTTATTTCAGTTTAATGTATAATTTGCAGTGTAGTGTAGTTTTTAAGGTCGTGCCCCCCCCTGTGCGCTCGGTACCTTCCTGAGCACGTGTGTGCAGGAAGTTTTTTTTTTTACATTGACTGAACTATTAGGCTAGGGGAGGGGGGAGACACCGACGTTGGGGTCCCTTAAAAATGTCCTCGGCCAAAAAGGGGTCACGAGTGGAGAAAGTTTAAGAAGGCCTGACTTAGACAATTTCACTTTCTCAAAAGAAGAAAAAGCCCCTCCCCCTATTTGCTTATCTATCTCAGAACTAGGGATGCACCGCAACATATCGACCGAAAATGGCACTTTTGCCTAAAATGCCGAAAGTGCAATTTTCTGGCTGATATAGCAGTGCATCCATTATTTCTCTCCCTTCTGGGCGCTGCTCTGTGTCCCAGCGGGGAGGAGAGAAACTGTCACAGGCGGCCGAGCGCTGCGAGAGGCCGGTGTCTCTCCTCCCCACACAGCTCAACTTCCTGTCACAGATCGGGAGAGCAGTGTGGGCGGAGACAGCCAGTGCTGTCACAGCTGGCTGAGCTCCGCCTCCTGTGACCTTGTCAGGAAGGAGAGCGGTACAAACACTCAGTGATCACTGAGTGTTTGTAAATAATTGAGGACACCGTATGTTTACTATATCCTCAATTATGAATGAAGGGGAAGTGATCTACATCACTTCCTGTTCATTCATAATTGCGGCTATAGTAAACATACTCGGTCATGTTATAAATGAACGGGAACACCCAGAGGATTCCTGTTCATTTACAACATGGAATGTAGAAAAAGATTGAGGACTGTCCTCAATCTTTCTATATTAAAGAGAAATATCAGGGTCTGTTTAGCCCCCTAATTCCCAGAAGTGTCCCCCAACCTAGTGTCTATTTACAGGCAGTCTGGTGGCAACCGAAAACCCTGCGGTTCATAAGTTTCATTACCAGGCTCTTTGAAGGCTTAGAACAGCCACATCTACCCTAGCCACATGTTCTGTTTTTATTAGGTTTTTTACAAAGCAAACACTTTGCAATTGAAAGTAAAAATGGTGCATACATGCACAACAGGAAAACTGTGTTTCTTGTAGCTTTGATAGGTTTATAATAGGGATGTCCCGATATCACTTTTTAAAGACCAAGTACTGTCCCTCCTGTACTTGCCGATACCAATTACCGATACTTTTTCTTAAAGGGACATGTGACATTTTTTTCTAAAACAATACAGACTAATGATTTTAGGGCAGTTTCTCACCAGGGCTGTGTGCATTGGAGGCGACAGGTTCTCTTTAAGGTGACATTAGGGGTCTTTTAGACCTAGTGTCACCTATCTACTTCACTGGATTCACTGAATGTAAATACAGCAGGCAGTGGCTGGGAGCAATAGCCAACCTGCTATTGGATATTTTAAATTGCAATAGCCAATAGCAGGCTGGCTATTGTACCCGCCTACTGCCCTCTGTCATCAAAGGAAGGAACTGAAGACAAAGTTCTCAATCAGGTCCTCTGCTGATTGACAGCAGGCAATGGGCGGGTAAAATAGCCAGCCTGCTATTGGCTATTGTTACAAGTGTTAATTCCTTTTCCACTTGATGAAACTGTTTGCTTTTGGTGATGTATCTCAGTGACAGATGTCGGTGCTCCTTATGTGATAAATTTATAAAATCTGCACTTATGGGTGGAAATGGAGTGTAATTAAAAGCTGCTCCTTATGTGTTTAATAATAATGCCCTCACCAGAGGTACACAGAAGTTTTCCCTCTCAATCAAAGAAGAGAAGGTCCATTCTGTGTGAAGGCAAGATTTACAGCTCCTCTCCTCCCCTTGAGCACACTGAACGGACATTATTTTCTTTCAATGAGAGTGAAAACTGCTGTGTAGGTCGGGTGACTGCATTACACATAAGGAGCACGGACATCTCACACTTAGTGATATATTACCAAAAGCAAACAGTTTTACCACGTTGAAAAGGAGGGGACACGGAGGAGCAGCAGCTAATGTACAGGGGGGAGGGGGCAGCGGGGGAACTCGCAGCTGGAGTCTCTTCTCTTTTATGCTGGCTACAGAGGTCTGAAAGGGACACCGAGCTCTGCAGCCAGCACCAGCAGGGAGAAGAGACTGTCCACACAACACTTACCGCCCGCCATGCTGTCACACTTCCTTCCGGAGAGGTCAGAGCGGAGGGAGCCTGTGTTTGGTGGAGAGGTATTCTGGGGGAGGGGCTATGCGGGTCAATGGCCGAAGGTAGTTAAAAAAATGTAAAGGGCCGGTATCTGATCTATGCATCGGGGCATTTTCAGGAGTACATGTACTCCTGAAAATGCCATGTATCGGCCCCGATACCGGTACATGCATCAGTATCGGGACATCCCTAGTTTATAAGCTGATGGTTCTGCAGGTACAGCAGCAGGACCAAGTTTTCTGACCTCTGCTTTGATCTCTGCTAGCTGAATAGCTCAGCTTACATTTGCTTTGCTTAAAGGACAGAGCAACAGTTGCACCCTGTGTGTTGCCTTATGCGGCAGCTGCATTTATTAAAATAAGTAGCCAATAAAAGGTATCGGACAGAGAAGGTTTAGGGTGGGGGTAGGACTACCTATTTGCCCAGTTCATGGCAAATAGTTGGTATTAAAAGCCCTAGTTTCCCTTGCAGGGCAAACAGCTGAAGGTTCATTCTACGTGGATATATGCCAAAGCAAACCTTGTTTAGTTTCTTTACAAGGGAATGTATTACATTTTTTATGGAATATTGCATAATGGCCACTAGATGGTGGTGAGCATAGAAATTATGCCTTTCCTATGATTTTTTTTTGCTCCATTTAGTGGCCATAATGCAATATTGAATAGAAACATTCAAACATTCATTTGACTTGTAAAGAAAAAAAAACTAAATGTTAATTTTGGCATATATTAATACAGAGTGAGCATTCACAGATATTAATAGACCCCTTTTGGGTTGTCCTTCCATTGCATTTGACCATTATTTATTAGGAATTATACTATTTATGTAACATGATCTACAGTATTGTGTTTCTGGATGTACAAAATATCTCCTGAAGCTAGTATGAACTGTTCTGTGCTGT